GTTCGAGGTCGTGAAATTTAGAACCTGACAACAGCAAACATGCACGAAAGGAACCTTTGGGACATCTCATTTGACGAGTTGCGGTCCACGTCAAAGCACCGACATGTTGCCCCGAGACATCGGAAAGATTTGGTAAGTCGAGCCTGCTACGTGACAAGGTGGTACACTGTACATGTAAGCATGACACCAGCCTTGCCGCAAAAGAACTCCAGCATGTCGAGTTCTTGGAATATTTCCAGATAGATTCCATGTTGTGGTGTACGGAAGATCAAAGCCCACAGGACGATGTCAATGTACACCTGTAGATCGAGGTGACCCACAGAATAAGACACAACTTATTCATTCGAGGCCAGTAGCCCACGGCAGTTTTTTCTGCATCAGGCCATACAGCAAGCGGACATCCATGACGCCTCATCTTGCAAGGTTCAGATCAGCACATGCATTGCCATACTTTTTGCAATTGAGACACTCAGAGCAGCCAAGCGTGCAGCAACATCGGCGGCGTCGGCTATGTAAGATTCTGTCATCATATGAAGAAAAGACAGCACAGTTTGATGATGCCAATCGCGGAACCTATTTTTGTTCATGGTCTTCGTGGAGCCAACAATTGCGGGAGGGGGTTCATGTTCAGCCCCACCTACCCATTGCACACAGCATACATATTCCTGCCTGGAGGTTTCTTCTTGAGCAGTCGGCTCCCGAGACGGGGCCGCAGAGGAGCTTCTGCCTGATCGAGGGCACATTAACCACAGCTCACCAACCAACAAGAAGCACGGAGTGGCAGCGTCGTTCCCATTTCTTATCGCAGGCAGCTCCGCGACTCACACCGGATCAGGACCTCGCCGCCTTGATTTCGTTGCACTCATACAGGACAGCCGCCACGTCTGTTTCGTCCTCATTCAATTGACGAACCCATTCCCGGACTTTCGCCGTGGCATCTGGATATATCTTCGTGGAGAGCTGCAGGATTTGCTTATTCTCCTCGTTGTCGTACAGCGAAGGCATCTCCACACCCTTTCGGTTCTGAAACTTCAGTCGGTAGTGGGCCCGGGAGGCATTCGCCTTCGCCTTCGCCTTCGCCTTCGCCTTTGCTTTGCCTTTGGCCCTCGCCTCAGCCACTAGCCGACGTTGTTGGACAAGATCCACAGCATCGGGAGGTTTGACACCCATGTACCATGCAATTGCCTGACACATACGACTGATTTGCAGAACAACATTTACTGCAGCTATGTTGCAGACGGGGGCGCCTCCAGGCTTTCAGGCTCCGGTGTGTAGGCCTGGGTCAGGATGAATCGAATTGAAGGAATCTGTTAGCAATATCAACCTTAGTGCAGCCATATTGCGATTTCCGCAGAGGCGTCCGGCTCCCGTGGCGGGCCCGGCATCGGTGCGGCATTCTGCGAGGCACCCGGCCCCCGTGGCGGGGCCGATATCGGTGCAGGATCCCTCGATGACCGAGCAGCCTCCGGCGGCTGCTCCTCATCACTGCTCCCATGGAGCAGCACTGTAGTCTGCTGGAGCTCTTCCAGAGCAGTCTTTCTCTTTTTCAGGATTTGTTCTTCAACGCCATCTGTGTCTGGCACTGCCCACATTGCCGCCAGCTCCTGCGCTTCGGAAGTGATTTCCTCGCCATCGCTGCATTCATCTTCATCACCGTCTGGCTTGGCCAAATCGCCTGTCATGTCCTTGACCATGCTGAAGACACGAGGATACTTAGATGCCCCTGGCGGCCAATCCACGTTGGTTTTCTTCGCCAACCACAACCATTGCCGCCGATACTTCCGAAGCGTCTGCAGCATGACCTTGACATCCTGTGCCAAGAGCAAAATGCTGTCGGCTGGCAGTTCAGCAGTAGTGCACCCTTTGAGGAGGCCGTACATCAAAAGCTCCAGCCTGAGTGGTACAGGCTTATATAGAACACAATCAGAAGGTAACACAACCACATGTCAGATGCAACAAAAAAGCATATCTGCAGCCTTGTCTCGATTCCGGGGACAGCGGCCCTTCAGGGACCATTTTCACGATGGGCCCGAGAACCCAGTGATGTCTCTCGAGCAGAGCCAAAGGCGCGAACACAAGAATCCTTTTGTGCGAGCTCACTTCCTTCGGCGTGGAACATCTTGCGAAGATCGAGGTCGCATCCTTCTTGATCTCGAGCAACTCGTCCGGAGGCAGCACAATGTTTTGTTGCAGGAGCTCCAGCTCTTCCTTGGTGAGGTGGCGCTCGCAAGATCCCACTGGTCTGGGCATGATTATCGAGAGCGACAGAGGCAATGGTAGTGGGGACACAAGGAGAACGGTGTCACTGCCACAACGGTAGCATGGATGCATTCATGCTATAGTTTCGATATCTCCTTGAGCAGCGTGGCTGAGCAGCCCGGGCTTGGGGTCTCGGTGCTAGGGTTCCTCTGGCAGGCGGCGCTACTTGCTGCCTAACCTTGCCAGGGTTTCAGGTTTAGGGTTTAGGGTTTGGTGCTTCGGCTCTTGGTGCTTGGTCTCTCGGTGCTTGGGCTTTCGGTGCTTGGGAGGCTCTCGGTGCTTCCGGGCTTCAGCTTCCGCAGTCACTTGCAAACACTCACTGAATCTCCAGGCTGAGGCTCTTGGTGCTTGGGCTCTCGGTGCTCGGGCTTTCGATGGGGTCCAGGTTACTCTGGTAGGTGGAGCTCAGGGTTTGAGGTTTAGGGTTTTGTAAGTTTATGTCCTGGAATCCAGGACCGCAGGATATGGTCTACCCTAAAACTTTATGTCCTGGAATCCAGGACCGCAGGATATGGTCTACCCTAAAACTCCTAAACCCCTAAAGCATGCACAGCCAGGCCTGATTGTGCTTGTAAGCGCCTTTGTCTGCTCAAGCCCATGGCGATCGTTCGCCTGGCACACAACAATCATCAATCGCTCGGCTGGCCGAGCACAACAGAGATGCAGAACAGAGTTTCTGGCCGATTTTGTTGCAGCCGCTCGGAGTAGGCCATTAAACAGCCGTCGCTTTGGAGGCCATGGAGAAGCTTCCTTGAGGAAACTTCCAATTTCATCTCCAGCTAGAGATTCAGAAAACATTCGGTCCGCGGGTCATTATCGGACCACCAAAAGCATGTCCGGCACCCTGCGCAGGGGCCGCTTTGTTTTTCTTCGCAGTGGTATTCGCAGCTTCAGCACCCAGCCTTTGTCTCTTCAATACGACGTCGACCCAAAGTGCCTCCTCCGGTATCATCGGGAGTGTCGACCGCCACGTGTCCCGGACACGGATCCAACCGGCTTTGTACACCATCGACCAATCCTCCGACCAGTGTATGCCAATGGTCCTGTCGGGGTTGCAGACCAACAGCCTGAAGGACCCAGTCATGGCACTGAGGCGTGACAGGGATCCAAGAATGCGAAGATGCTGGAGCCCATCTTTTGCATTGCAAATCAAGATGACCAAGCAAGCCAAGCAGATCCCGACCAACCGACCAACCGACAATTGCAACTCAAGATGACCAAGCAAACCAAACAGATCTCGACCAACCGACCAACCGAGGATTACAAGTCAAGATGACCAAGCAAGCCAAGCAACCGACCAAGCCCGACCAAGCCCGACCAAGCGACAATTGCAAATCAAGATGACCAAGCAAACCAGGCAACCGACTCAGCCCGAACAAGCGACCAACGGACGATTGCAAACGAAGATGACCAATATCAAGCCCAAGGTGATCACCCCAAGCAAGCCCAAGCAATTAAGGATCGCCCGCAAACCACAAACGGAGGGTCGAGTGTGCACCGGACGTGCCTAGCTAGGCTCGATCGTCGGTGTGTCCTGCAGCACACAAGAATCAGAACAGCGCAACGATCGAGGACAACTCAAAGCCCAGCATGCAGAGAGTACTTTTTTCGCCCCAGGAAGATGCCGTCGGCTCGGCTTCAGTCTGAACCGCCGAGGCCCTAAAGCAAAGGCTCGGCTTCATCGGGCTCGCTGTCGCTGCTCTCAGAAAAGCAGGCGCAAATGCGCAGCTTCTTCTTCGGCCGCCTGAATTTTGTGTTTAGGGTTTGGGGTTTTATAGGGTTCATATTTCGGACTTTTCGGGTTAGGGGATTTGAATAACGACCGAGGATCTGCCGCACCGCTGCATCCTCCGGCCCGGCCCGCAAAATCGGCATCTGCCTAGGCGAGCGAAAACCTAAAACCCAAAAGCCCTGAGGCAGCATCTAAAGTTAGCCAAGCAGCCTCCCTGATGGCGGGGTCACCAGTCGTGCCCTGAGCGAAACCGCAAAACCCAGCGAAGCTTCAAAAGAAAATGAAGATTAGCCAAGCAGCGTCCCCCGGGGCTGCTGCTGGGCCATTGGCAACCTGCATGAGCGAAACCGCAAAACCCAGCGAAGCCCCAAAACATAAAGGTAGCCAAGCAACGGGTGCGGGGTGTACGGCATGTTCGTGAGCCTGAGCGAAACCGCAAAACCCAGCAAAGACCCAGAACCCAAGCGTGAAGTTAGCCAAGCAGCTGGGCCGGCCGCGGATCCAACCCCAGTGTGAAGGCATTCCTCGGAACACGGCCCCTAAACTTAACCCTAAACCCCTGAACCCTAAACGTAAAGATTCATCCGCCGAGCAACGAGAGCCGCTGCTCCGGAGGAGTCATCCTGAGTTATTTCAACACCCAGCCCTCCCTTAGCACCATAAATTTAAACCCTGAGCCAA